ACAGTTTCAAATTCCTTGGGCCTTTCCAAATCAATTCTTTTTTGGCTCCATTCTGTTTGCTAAATAGCATTGCCAGATAACTTGTACTACACATTCAGTTTGCTCTGTCTGGCCAAAGTCTGCCATGACTGGAGTACATGTGGAAATGGCAGAACTCCCCACCCCAGAGGCTTAGACTGGAATCCAAACTTGTCCCTGCTCCCCTCTGTCAACTGATTAAAAGGACATTTTGAGAGTGCAAGACTACATTTTAACTGACCTCCCTGACTGTGTCAGAGCTTAATAATACCAGCACCACCTGGATATTCACATACCGCCCTGTTTCCTCCAACACTTTCCCCTGAACTTTTCCCACATGGCAGCCAGCCCACTTGGGGCCATGCAGTCGGCTACCATTAAATGGAAGCTTTTAGCACCAGTTCCAACTGCAGGGTGAGTCAGCTCCCTGACGCCAAAGTAGCCTCCCTGTCATCTTAGAAGCCGGAACCAGGGAAGGTGTTTCAAAAGCCAGAGGGCAATCCTGGGCCCACACCCTAGACCGCCTAGGATTAGGTAAGTGGCAGGTGCCACTCCAGGGCACCAGCCGGATCCAACTCTTAGCCAGGTGAGTGTAAGTGACCCTGCACTCCCAGGCCATCTTCCCATACCTCACCTTTTCTTCAGTCATTATAAAAGTCAAGTTCTAAAATACATTCTGCAGAGGATGAGGGGAGAGAACAGACTGCCAGCAGCTGAGTGGCTTCCCCTACTCCTCTTACAAGAAGGCAGAGTATACTTGCCTCTCACACATATTTACATAGTCTTTTTTCTAGATAACAACGAAGTTTGAGTTTGATTCTTTTTTTTTTTTTTTTTTGGTAAGTATGTTATTCAATTTTAAAAACTGTTAGTCTTAGCCAGATCCTAAGAGGCAAGCAATTAAGAGTAATGGAACAAAATAACAGATGGCTACTTTGGGGCTTCCATTATCTGCCCTTAAAAAGAAAAAAAGATCCACTTTAAGAAAAAAACAGGCAGGGCACGGTGGCTCACGCCTGTAATCCCAGCACTTTGGGAGGCCCAGGCAGGGGGATCACTTGAGGTCAGAAGTTCAAGACCAGCCTGGCAAACATGGTAAAACTCTGTCTCTACTAAAAATACAAAAAACTGGCCAGGCATGGTGGCTCACACCTGTAGTCCCAGCTACTCAGGAGGCTGACACAGGAGAATTGCTTGAACCTGGGAGGCGGAGGTTGTGGTGAGCCAAGATCATGCCATTGCACTCCAGTCTGAGTGACAGAGTTAGACTCTGTCTCAAAAAAAAAAAAAAAAAGACGACTTTCAAATAATTAACTCATACCTAATACAGCCCAAGCCAAAGGTCAGGGTTTAAACGCTGAGGGCTCTGCAATAGTGATGTTTCAATGAACATGAAAATTTATAAGTGAGGCATTTCTTCTTGCTGTAATGAGATTTGGCATAACCTTTAAGAGATCTCACCCTTCCAGTACAGCAGAGGGTGATGAGGTTACCCACGCCTCCTTTAGAAACTGGGAGAGGGAACTGTGGCCCAGAACTGTAATTGCTCAAGAATTTGCTCGAAGACCAGAACAATGCTTCTACATCCTCTAGGAGGGCACGCACGGCCGTCTCATGTAAAAACTGTTGCATAACCTGCTTATTGGTTACAGGGGTCCCTAGAAGTCAGAGAAAGGGCTTCCAAGCAGGAGAGAGACACATGTCCCCTCTGATTTGGGCCAACTCCTGCTTAATGCCTAGAAGAATTCAATTCTCACTTTGAGGGCCTACAACTGTTCTGGACACAGATTTTTTTTGGAGTATGCATGTACAGGATCCTCAGGACTGTCACTCTTCCCATGCCCTGTGGTCAGCCTTGGAGAGGCAATAAGGACAACATATCATTCCCTAAAGTGACACTGCAATGTAGAAAAAACCCAGCCAGGCCGGGCGCGGTGGCTCAAGCCTGTAATCCCAGCACTTTGGGAGGCCGAGGCGGGTGGATCACGAGGTCAAGAGATCGAGACCATCCTGATCAACATGGTGAAACCCTGTCTCTACTAAAAACACAAAAAATTAGCTGGCCATGGTGGCGCGTGCCTGTAATCCCAGCTACTCAGGAGGCTGAGGCAGGAGAATTGCCTGAACCCAGGAGGCGGAGGTTACGGTGAGCCGAGATCACGCCATTGCACTCCAGCCTGGGTAACAAAAGTGAAACTCAGTCTCAAAAAAAAAACCCCAAACCAACCAGACTGCGGGGAGGGTATTTCTTAGAAAGTAGAGAGCCACACAGATTGGTGTATTCCTTTCCATTGCTCCTTCCCCCATTTCATAAAGGATCTCTACCACATAACAGGAAAGGGCACAGAAGTGACACAGAGCAGCTAAGGGTAAATATTTGCTGGAGGAGGTGTAACGCAGGAGGTACCAGAATCTGGCCCTGACTGAAACACTAAAGCAGCTGGTATTAGGTGAGCCACCCTTTTCCCTCAACCCTGCCTGGCCCTGGAGGAAGGGAGCTGGGAGGTAAGAGAAAGATACACGGCAGCAAGGCCTGGAGGTTCTGGGGAGTTCGGGTTTCCGCACAGCACCTAAATGCCCACCCTGTGGGCAAGGGACACTTTAACCACAAGCACAACCCACACCCTAACTCTCGGGAGAGAATGGGACCTGGCTCGCAAAAGGAGTCACCTGGGGAGTGGCGGAAGACAGGAAGCGGGGGAAAAAGATCCTCCACCCCTATCACCTGAGAAAAAACGGTGAGGGGCTCATTTTCTCCAGCACCTTCAGCTGCAGAAGACAAAGCCCAGATATTCTCAAAACAACACTGTGGCCCCTGCTCCCTCCAACTTTCCAGGTCTCCTGGCACCTTTTCCAACCTGGCACTGCCTCGGGGAGCAAATTATTGTTAAGACTCCAGAACAGATCTCTCCTTCCTGTCAAAAAGAGCATTTATGGCAGCTATCGAAACATGTCCACCCTGCAGTAGGTGGGGCCACAGATAAGGACACCACTCCCACCAAGCCACTGCCACCCCCCTCAGTTACTACGGATGAGGAAATTCAAGCAATGCTTGTAATGGACCCAAGGTTATGTCCGGCCCCACCTCGGGCTGCCTTGGAACAGCTGCTCCTTCCACCCTTTCCCCTCCAGCCCGGGCTAGGCTCCCTGTGCGGAGCTCTTGGGCACCAACTCACGCCCTCAAGAGGCTTCCAATCACTCCCCACTCTGCCAGCTCACTACTCAAAACCCTGTATTCTGTTCCTGAAAAATCTCCACCAAACGCACTCTCCCAAACCTTCAGAGCCCTGTCCAAAGTTCCAACTCTACACATGTCCCTCTTTGTTAATCACCACAGGGACCCCTCGCATCCATTTGCATTTTGCAGATAACAAAACTGCACCGAGTTCAAGGGTCTTGTTCAAGGCCACAGAGCTAATCAGTGACAAATCTGGAAAGAAAATCCAGATCTCCAGATCCCATGAAATGCCTCCAACTTCAAGCACCTCCCACCCACTTCACACACAAAACTCCTGAACGACCCCTTCCCCACATACACCCACTCACAACACTCCTTTCTTTAGCTCTTCCTGCACACACTCAGAGCTCCCCCCTCAACCACACTGGATTATTGCCCCCCACACACACACATAGACACCGATACCTCGCTCGAGGATCCCACTCCACTTCTGATCACCTTCTCATGGCTGCAAACCCTCCCAATTTGCTCCCCCCCCCCCGCCCGCTCCAACAGGGCCACCTGAACAGTCTCTGCTTCAGGATCCTTTCACCTGCCCCGCTCTCTCCAAAAAGACACAATTCTTCCTGGACCTTCTCACCGCCTCCTCCCAAACTCCTTATTCTCCCTCCTGTCCAGTCCCAGGACTGTACCTCCAGGAGCCAGTGCCCCCTTCCTAGATTTCTTTCTCAGTCTATCCACCCCGCGTTCCCTTTCTAATGAGACTTTCATTTTCCTAAACGAACCTCCCTGCCATTATCCACCATTCCAGCTCACACTCCCTCCCGCCGATCTCACCTTCTTCCTCTGCACTTCCTCATTCTCTCCAACGATTTAGCGTTTCAGCTTCCCATTGAAATTCTTCAGGAAACCCCTCCCCAAATTATCCCCAAACACTCTCCGTATCCCCACCCCCCACTTCGGCTTCTCTATCCCTCATCAATTCCTTTTCTTCCTCCATCTCTCAACCTTCTCCTCTTCCCTTAGGAACAGGGCATCCCAAATAAATCTCACCCCCTTCAACAACGTCCCATTCTCGGGCCCCTTAACTTCTTCCGTCCGCACCACACCCTCCTCAGACCCCCAGTCCCGCCACCTCTACCCTCCTCACATCCTCAGCCCATGTCTTTTCATGCCCAATTCTGCCCTTAGCCCCTGTTTTCATCTTCCCAGCCTCCCTAGTCCTCCCACCCGTCTTCAGACCCCACAATCTCCATTCCAGCTTCACACTTGATTCTTCATCCCCTTTAGAACTCCCCCAACCTGAGGCTCCCCCAGTTCCAATCTCCTTCAGATCTTTCTGCTTTCCAAATAACCCCTCCACACTCAAGTTCTTCCTCATACTTCCCAGACCCACAGATTCCCTTCCCAGCCTCCCCAGGGTCTCCCCCCGGCACCTCCAACCCATGCTCCGACCCTTCTAGCCCGCCTGAGATCCCAGTTCCATTTCAGCCTGCCCAATCATCTTCACGGTTTCACCTAATGGCCCGCCCAGACCCTCCAAATCCTTCATCAGCCTTCCTGATTCCTTTTATTTCACTCCCAAATTCCCCACCTGGCCGCCAATTCTCCTAGATTCCCAATTTCTACCTCGAGCTCGGCGATTCTTTCTCAGGACTCCAATTCCCTTCCCGGACCCGCCAATTTCTTCTCGGGACGCCCTGTTCCCACTACAGACGCTCCAAAACCCTTTCAGGACCTCCCACCCCTCCCCAGGCCCCCTCGGAAAAGCTCCTCCAGCCCGTCCGGCCCGCGGGCCGCGCACCTTGCGCTGCTGCTTCTCCCAGGCCGGGTCCAGCAGCAGGTCCCGGTCCCAGTCGTCCTCCTGAGCCATGTAGTCGCCCATGCTGCCCCCGCCGCCAGCGCCATTGCCCGCGCTGCTGGGGCCGTACTGGTATGACTGGTTCGCCGCGTGATAGTCCACCATTCCGCCGCCTCAAACTCGCCCACCAGCCCGTCCGCTCCCGCCTCAGCTCCCGCCCCTCTGCCCGAGCCGCCGCTGCTGCTGCCGCCGCTTCAGCTGCTTCAGCCCGCCCTCCGTCCGCGCCTGCGCACTGCCCTCCGCGCCTGCGCACAGAGCCCAGGTTGCCGCCCTCTCGCGCGCGCGCGCCTGCAGAACCAGAAAAGGCACCAAGGTCGCGCTCCGGTGCTTGGCGCCTGCGCAGAGTCCACCTTCCCCCGCCGCCCAACTTTGCTCGGGTGCGAGCCGCGCCCCCTCTCCCGCGTGAACGCGCGCGTCGTTCAAGTATGGGCGGGGCCAGTCATGAATGATTCATAAGGGAGGGCCCTGCCATCGGGCCTGAACCAGCTCAGGTTTGGAATGCACGGCTCCGGGTTCCCATTCAGCGACACAAATTCAACAAATATTTATTGAACACCTACTGTGTGTTCAACAATCTTGTGGAGCCACCGCTCCCAGACAACACACAAAATTTTAAGAAATATGTAGACAGGCCAGACATGGTGGCTCACACCTGTATGTAATCCCAGCACTTCGGGAGGCTGAGGCGGGAGGATTGCTTGAGTCCAAGAGTTCAAGACCAAACTGGGCAACATATCAAGATCCTGTCTCTACAAAAATTTTAAAAATTAACTGGATGTGGCGGTGTGCACCTGTAGTTCCAGCTACTCAGAAGGCTGAGGCAGGGAGGTCACTTGAGCCCAGGGGTTCCAGGCTGCAGTGAGCTGTGATCACACCACTGCACTCCAGGAGCAAGATCCTGTCTCAAAAATATACATAAAAGTAAAAAATAGATGGTATTGTATAGTCCAAGGCGATGAGTATTATGGAGAAAAATCAAGCATGAGCTGGAATGCATAAAGAACTCAGGTAGGCCTCATGGAGAAGGCAGACATTTGAACAAAGGTTTGAGCCACTGCATCAGGTAATATCTTAATTTTAAATATTCAGCCAGGCACTTGTGGCTCACTCTTGTAATCCCAGCATTTGGGGAAGTCAAGGCTGGAAGACTGCTTGAGCCCAGGAGTTTGAGGCCAGACTGGGTAACATCCCACATCTACAAAAATATTAGCCAGGCGTGGTGGTGCACACCTGTAATCCTGGCTTTTTGGGAGGCTGAGGCAGGAGAATCACTTGAACCTGGGAGGTGGAGGTTGCAGTGAACAGGGATCGTGCCATTGCACTCCAGCCTGGGCAATAAGAACAAAACTCAGTCTGAAAAAAAAAAATGAAAAAAGAAAAGCAAAGCCAGGCGCAGTGGCTCATGCCAGTAATCCCAGCATTTGGTAGGCTGAGGCAGGTGGATCATGAGATCAAGAGTTCAAGACCAGCCTGGCCAATATGGTGAAACCCCGTCTCTACTAAAAATAAAAAAATTAAAAAAAATTAAACAGGGGTGGTGGTACGTGCCTGTAGTCCCAGATACTCAGGAGGCTGAGGCAGGAGAATTGCTTGAACCCATGAGGTGGAGGTTGCAGTGAGCCAAGATTGTGCCACTGCACTCCAGACTGGGCAGTAAAGGGAGACTTTGTCTTAAAAAAAATTAAATTAAAAAATAAATATCCAGGCCGGACTTGGTGGCTCATGCCTGTAATCCCAGCACTTTGGGAGGTCAAGGTGGGCAAATCACGAGGTCAAGAGTTTGAGACCAGGCTCGCCAACATGGTGAAACCCTGTCTCTACCAAAAATACAAAAATTCACTGGGCATAGTGGCAGGCACCTGTAATCCCAGCTACTTGGGAGATCGAGGCAGGAGAATCACTTGAACCCGGGACACGGAGGTTGCAGTGAGCCAAGATCATGCCACTGCAGTCCAGCCTGGGCGACAGTTTGAGACTCTCTCTCTCAAAAAAAAAAAATATATATATATATCTCCAAAAGATAGTTCCTGATCTTCCCCCCAAACGTAGCCATCCCATCCCATAGTCAACTGCACTTCAGTTCCTGTACCTCCAGCCTTGCAGGTACTGAGGCTACAGACCTTTCTGTCTTCCTTAATGCCTGTTTGTCTTCACAGCCCCATCCAGTTCTTCAGGAAATTCTGTCACTCCATCTTGAAAGAATACACAGAACCCACCCACTACCACCTGCCCCACAGTACCACCCCGGTTCTGCCTACCCTCACCTCGCCTCCCCTGGGACCATTGCAGCACCTCCCCACTGTCCCCCAGCTCCCCTTCCCACCCCCACAGTCTCTTCTCTTTCCCAGGAGAATCTGGAGGGAGCCTGTGAATGAATGACTGAGTCAGATCATGTTCCTCCCTCCTCTGTTCAAACCCTACTATGGCTCCACACTCAGGGCAACAGCCAAAGTTAAGGAAAGGAAGAAAGGCTGTAGAGGAGTCTGCCCTGCCCTGCCCTGCCCTGCCCTGCCCTGCCCAGCTCAGTTTTTCTTTGGAGATGGAATATTGCCCTGTTACCCAGACTGGAGTGCAGTGGCATGATCTTGGCTCACCGCAACCTCAGCCTCCACAGTAGCTGGGATTATAGGCATATACCACCATGCCTGAATAAGGCTAATTTTTCTATTTTCAGTAGAGAGGGGTTTTGTCATGTTGGCCAGGCTGGTCTCGAATTCCTAGCTCAGGTGATCTGCTTACCTCAGCCTCCCAAAATGCAGAGATTACAGGTATGAGCCACTGCACCCGGCCAGCCCAGTGTTTTTGCCTTTTGTTTTTGGAGATGAGGGTCTTAATATTTTGCCCAATCTGGGCTCCGACTCTCGATTCTCCTGCCTCAGCCTTCTGAGTAGCTGCAACTGTGAACACATGCCACCACATCCAGCTCAGCTGTTTCGTTGATGTTGTTGGTGGTGCTGCTGGTGGTGGCAGTGTCTGCGACAGGGACTTGCTATGTCACCCAGGCTGGAGTCCAGGGGCACAGTTCCAGTTCATTGTAGCCTCAGATTCCTCAGCCCGAGTGATCCTCCTGCTTTAGCCTTCCAAGTAGCCTGTACTGCAGTTGCACACCACCATGCCTGGCTAATTTCTAAATGCTTTGTAGAGTTGGGTGGTAGGGGGTGTAAAGGGAGGGTTTCCCTAGGTTGCTCAGGCTGGCCTCAAACTCCTGGCCTTAAGTGATCCTCCTACCTCAGGAAATGCTGGGATTACAGGCTGGGATTACAAGTGTGAGCCACCCAAACCCTGCCTCAACCTAGTTTTTGAAAAGTTTTGAGTCAGCTGACCTGATTGCTCACACCTGTAACCCCAGTACTTTAGGAGGCTGATGCAGGCAAATCACCTGAGGCCAGGAGTTCGAGACCAGCCTGGCCAACATAATGAAATCCCATCTCTACTAAAAATACAAAACTTAGCTGGGTATGGTGATACATGCCTATAATCCCAACTACTTGGGTGGCTGAGGCAGGAGAATCGCTTGAACCTGGTGGTCGAGGCTGCAGTAAGCTGAGATCACACCACTCCATCCAGCCTGGGTGACAAAGTGAAACCCTGTCTCTTTTTGTTGAGATGGGGTTTCACCATGTTGGTCAGGTTGGTCTTGAACTCCTGACCTCGTGATCCACCTGCCTCGGCCTCCAAAGTGCTGGGATTATAGGTGTGAGACTCCATGCCTGGCCTTTTTTTTTTTAAATGGGGTTTCACCATGATGGCCAGGCTGGTCTTGAACTCCTGACCTCAGGTGATCCACCCACCTCAGTCTCCCAAAGTGGCTTACAGGTGTGAGCCACCGTGCCAGGCCTCCCTGTCTCAAATAAACAAATAAAAATATCACTCGGCCCTTCCCTGCTCAACTTTTGTCCGTAGCACTAATTGCCATTTAACATACCATTGCTGGATGTGGTGGCTCACGCCTGTAATCCCAGAACATTGGGAGGCTGTGGCAGACAGATCATGAGGTCGGGAGATCGAGATCATCCTGGCTAACACGGTGAAACAGCCGTCTCTACTAAAAATACAAAAGATTAGCCAAGCGTGGTGGCACATGCTTGTGGTCCCAGCTGTTCAGGAGGCTGAGGCAGGAGAATTGAGGCTTGAACCCAGGAGGCAGAGGTTGCAGTGAGCCGAGATCACCCATTTCACTCCAGCCTGGGTGACAGAGTGAGACTCCATCTCAAAAAAAAAAAAAACAACAAAACCACACATACTGTCTGATCTGTTCACGTATCGTGTGTCTTGGTCTCCCCATGAATAGCAGCCCATGAAGGAGGTAATCTGTTTTTGCTCACCATTGTATCCTTAGTCTCTGAAGCAGTGCCTGGCACAGAGCAAACAATAAATCCTAGGTGAATGAATGAATGGGCTTAAAACCAGGTGGAAGAATGTGAGTTTCATTCTAAATGCACTGGAAGTTAAGGTAGGATTTGAAGCCAGGGAGGGCTATGATCTGACTCAGGTGGAGATTAGGGGCCATGGTTTCTCCGCCAGCCATGGTGACTCATGCCTGCAATCCCAGAACTCTGAGAGGCCGAGGTGGGAGGATTTCTCGAGCCCAAAAGTTAGAGACCAGCCTGGCCACCATAGCAAAACCTCATCTTGAATAAAAATACAAAACATTAGCCAGATGTGGTGGTGTAATCCCAGCTACTCAGGAGGCTGAACCCAGAAGGTGGAGGTTGCAGTGAGCTGAGGTCGTGCCACTGCACTCTAGCCTGCACAACAGAGCCAGACTGTCTCAGGGAATAAACAAGAGACATGGTTTATGGTTTCTCCAGCTATGCGAATTGCAAGAGTCCTTCTCTGCTTCTCTGCCTCTCCCAAAGGCACACTGAAGGGATCCAGTGACAGCAGAGGAAGGGGATGAGGCCCAGGGGGCGGCCCCACTGCTGTGTTGGCCAGGCTGGTCTCGAATGCCTAGCTCAGGTGATCTGCTCACCTCCACCTCCCAAAGTGCAGGGATTATAGGCATGAACCACTGCACCCGGCCAGCCCAGTGTTTTTCTCTTTTGTTTTTGGAGACGAGGGTCTTAATATTTTTCCCAAGCTGGGCTTGGATTCTGGCTTCTCCTGCCTCAGCTTTCTGAGTAGCTGCAGCTGTAAACACATGCCACCACATCCAGCTCTCTTCTCTTTCCCAGGAGAATCTGGAGGGAGCCTGTGAATGAATGACCGAGTCAGATCAAACCCTTCCTATGGG